CTTCAAGGTTACTTCTTAGTGGGATATTCCAATTGCAAATGAATGTCCACTTACAGCTGTAAGTCAGCCTGTGAGACAGAGGGATACCCAGAGAATTCCAGGTGTTTGGGACACAGGGCATGCTCCTTACACTTAAGTGTCTGCTCTAGGCTTAAATATTCCAGTTATTTCCTTGACTACAGAACTCTCCCAAGGAAAGAGAAAGCTCTTTTGTCCCCAGCCAACTTCCCTTGAGATGGAGGGTTTCCTCCTGGCCTGGCTGCTGGGGAAGGGGAAGTGGATCCACCTTGAAGTGATGAATGGCTGACACATCCACAGGGACCAGCCTGGACCTCTGGCTGGGTGTGTCTCCCTAGGTCTGTTGCTTTTTCCTATTTTCCTTCTGACGTCACCTCCCTTCAGTTTCAAAATCAGCACATACTGAGTTAGTATGAGCAAAACCTCCCAAACATTCTATTTACATGCGAGTGTGGAGAAGCAGGCAAGATACACCACTTGGTTAAATCAGGGACAAGTACAGCCTTAATTCAGGTGTTCTTTGAGAGCCTCATTTGGGTTATAAGGCAGAGAATGCAGGCTAGGGATCACTCCCCCCAAAGGGGTTGCCGACAGAAGTCACTAAAAAGTCCATTCACCATAGTGACAAGGAGATGTTGTCTCTGGAAGCTGGGCTTTGCCCCTGTGCCTCTCAGGAGTGAAATGCTCTACAGTGGGGGTGGGGGGTCATGGTCCACTCCCTGCTAAGCTGGCTCTGTTCTCCTGGGGTTACAAGGGATGCATGTCAATGTTTAGCACACACACAGCAGCCAAGTTCCTGTCTCTCCTGCCCCTCTTTCCTGCACATCCCTTTGCCCTTTAAGCCAGTACCCTGTGTTATGCAGTAGTATCTATCTGTTGCTGCTGCCCTCAGGCCACTCCCTCCCTTCCAGGAGATGCCTGCTCTGGACCCAGTCACACGCTACTCAGGGTGCCTTCTCTTTCTCCATAGGGAACTTTTGTTACCACCCATGTCACACCTCTTTCATGCCTACTTTGTCCAGTGGAAGGACATTGCAGATTTAGAAAATATAAATATGAGGACTTAAAACTTTAGATGATTTCACTGAACTGAGTTGAGTACATACTCTTGCACAAGGCAAATGTCAGATCCTGAAGTTCTGTGTCCACTTAGATAACTCAGAAGCACAGTTCAGTAAAGACCAATCCTTTTTTTTTTTAAAGAATTACTTATTTTACTTTATGTTTTGCCTGCATGTATGTATGTGTGTGTCATGTACCTATGAAAGTAGGAAAAGGTGTTGATTCCTCTGGAGCTGGAGTTTGAAAATAGTTGTGGGAGCAGGCAGAGGCAGGCGGATCTCTGTGAGTTCGAGGCCAGCCTGGTCTACAAGAGCTAGTTCCAGGACAGCCTCCAAAAGCCTCGGAGAAACCCTGCCTCGAAAATAAAAAAATAAAAGAAAATAGTTGTGGGAGGTAGCAATCGAGCTCATGTTCTCTGAAATAGCAACCAATAATCTTAACCACTGAGCCATCTCTCTAGGTCCCCTTCCTTCCTTCCTTCCTTCCTTCCTTCCTTCCTTCCTTCCTTCCTTCCTTCCCTCCCTCCCTCCCTCCCTCCCTCCCTCCCTCCCTCCTCTCTCTCTCTCTCTCTCTCTCTCTCTCTCTCTCTCTCTCTCTCTCTCTCTCTCTCTCTCTCTCTCTGCCTGAAGGAAATATTTGTATAGCACATAAGAAATAACACTGCTCCATTGTGTATATGTATCACATTTTCTCTATCCACTCTTCAGTTGAGGGGCATCTAGGTTGCTTCCAAGTTCTGGATATTACAAATAATGCTGCTATGAACAGTGGAACAGATGTCCTTGTTGTATAAATGTGCATCTTTTGGATATATGCCTAAGAGTGGAATTGCTGGGTCTTGTGGTAGGCTGATTCCCATTTTTCTGAGGAATCTTCTAATTTCCAAAGTGGCTGTACAAGTTGGCTTTCCCACCAGCAGTGGAGGAGTGTTCCCCTTTCTCCACATCCCTTCCAGCATGAACTGTCATTGGTGTTTTTGATTTTAGCCATTCTGACAGGCATAAGATTGTATCTCAGAGTTGTTTTGATTTGCATTTCCCTCATGACTAGGGATGTTGAGCACTTTCTCAAGTGCCTCTCAGCCATTTCAGACTCCTCTATTGAGAATTCTCTATGTAGTTCTGTAGCCCACTTTTTAATTGGACCCTTTGGTGTTTTGGAAACTTGCTTCTTGAGTTCTTTGTAAATTTTGGAGATAAGCCCTCTGTTAGATGTGAGTACTATTCAGCAGAAAAAAAACAATGGAATCCTGAAATTAGCAGGCAAACGGATGGCACTAGAAGAACCATCCTGAGTGAGGTAACCCAGTCACAAAAAGAGAAACATGGTATGTACTCTCTCATATATGGATTTTAGACATAGATCTGGGGGAGTGCCAGCATACAATCCCACAGCCAGAGAATCTAGGGAACAGAACCTTCATCCAATGGCTGATGGAAGCAGAGTCAGACTCCCACAGCTAAACACTGAGCTGAACTCAAGGAACCCAGTGACAGAGAGGGAGGACCGATGAACAAAGGGGTTAAGACTGGGCTGGTTTGATCCCCAGAAACAGCTGATCTGAACAAGGGTTAGCTCTTGAATCCCAGATTGATGGCTGGGAATCCAGCATGGGAATCGATCAAGACCCCCTGAACGTGGGTGTCAGTGAGGAGGCCTAGGTAATCTATTGGGCCTTGGGTAGTAGATCAGTATTTATCCCTGGCATACAAATGGACTTTGGGCTCCCATCCAACAATGAGAGATGCACTCTCACCCTGGACTCTTGGGGGAGGGTCTAGGTCCTGCCATGGATAAAATGACAGACTATGGACACCCCCCTGGGGAAATGAGGGGATACTGGAGGGGTTGGTGGGAGTGCATGGGAGGAGGGGAGGGAAAGGGAGAGGGACCTGGGATTGACATGTGAAGCAACCTTGTTTCTAATTTAAGTTTAAATTTAAAAATAAAAATAAAAAAAAGAAATAACACTGCTCATGTATTCAAAAGAAAGCAGGTCTGCCTAGTGGTGGGACTAAAGGCGTGCTCCACGAGGCTAGCCTGGTCTACAGAGGGAGTTCCAGGAAGCCTCCAAAACAATACAGAGAAACCCTGTCTCGAAAAAAACAAAAAACAAAAGAAAAGAAAAAAAAAGAAAGAAAGCAGGTCAATGAAATATGCAGCAGGCACCCATTTCTTATACAAGTCTCTCAGTCGCTCTTGTTTCCCTTGAGTAGTCAGAAAGGGGATATGGGTGCATTGTGGACAGTTGCACGGTGAGCATCTGGAGCAGGGGTGAAATCAAGGGCATACAGAGTAGGGCTTGACACACAGAGAATTTCCCAATAACTCTCTTGGTACAGGGACGGAGAGGGGCACCTTGCAAAGAGGGTGATGGTGTAGGACATGGTTCAGTAGATGCTTCGGAGTTCCTCCGGTCCCACAGGAGCCAGCACACACAGCCCTGGAAGCAGCAAAGAATCCAGGTCTGCCTGACTACTTCCTGTTCCTTAAAGCTGTGCTGAGCTAAGGATGTGAACGTCTCCATATCCTTGTGAACCAGAGAAACAGGAAGAGGAAGGAGCCTTTGGCTAGTTCTTACTCACCCCTCTGTGGCTACTATGGCTTGCAGTTCCCAGTGATTTTTTTTTCTTAGTGTTGCTTTAGTCAACATTACAATCTCATTCCCTGGTTGTCTTTTCCTTGGGACTTCACAGACTGTCTCTAAACACTTCCCTGTGGGATTCTCACATGCACTGACAGCCATTAGAGATGCTCACAGCACCTAGGAAGAGCATGACCGTCATGTCTGGCCTTTTGTGTGCGGGTAGAGCAGGAGGTGGGGGAGCTAGGTGCTGCCCTGGAAAATGACTGCTAGAACTCTGAAGCCCTGAGGATTGGATGACTCAGCCCAGAGCACTTGCATTGTGTTTTCTAGGAGTGTAGAGCCACTATGGAGTGTCTTTGCATCTAAGATACACGCAGATGGTATTTTGTAAGGTGCTCTGAGCTTAGAAGGAAGTTCTGAGGGCAAATCAGAGGGTTGTGTTCTCAGTGGCATCCAGTGTTGGAGCCAGATAGGTGGAGTCTGGACCCAGGGAAATGGTTTCCTAGCTCCATATGAGCTAGCACTGTCATTTCCACCAGCCCTTTTTCTCTAGCTTTTTTTCTCTGTCAGCTGCTCCTGGCTCACTGAATTCGCCTAAGCCACAGGGTTTATGGGATCCTCACTGCACATGGGTTTGCACAGTGAGCCACCCTAAGGGTTTCTGTCAGAAGCAACTAATTCTCAGACCTGAAGGGAAGCTATGGTGATGGAATTGCCACCTATCCTACTAGCAAGGCTCAGAGGACAGAGATCACTAGTAAAGAAGCTGGAGGTAGGAAGGATACCCTCGGCTAGAACTTGAAAACTAAGATAAACATACAGCCACCATCAGTGCTGTGGTTACACAGTCAAGTAAAGTCACTGATTGGCCTGCCCTGAGGGATGTCATCTCATCCTTGTGTGTTTGTATATATTCCTGTATGAACACGTGCTCTCAATATGTATATGCAGGTACACATGCATCTGCTTATGTGTGCATGTGAGGTAAAAGGTCACCTTCAGATGTCATTCACACCCATCTTGGTTTCTGAGACAGGGTCTCTGGTTGAACCTGGAGCTCACTAATTCAACAAGACTGGCGGTCCAGTGAGCCCCAGGATCCACCCATTTCAGTTGCCTCCCCAACACTGAAACTGCAAGCGTTGGCCACCACTGCTGGCTCTTTTAGGTGGGTTCTGGGGACTGAACTTCTACATCATCCCCCAGTCCATGTGATCTTGTTCCTTCAAGATGAATGGCATACTGCTTCCTTCTCTGACACCACATCTTCTCTAGCTTGGCTGTACTTAGGATTTGTATTCTGCACTGTACATTCACGCAAATGTTGCTTTAGTTTTAGGGACATTGGGAAATTCTTCCCAGAAGACTCTGCATTTGGTGGCCATCATATTCCTGGTCCTGAGTCTGGGAGCTGCCTTATTGAGCTCAGTGTTCACCTTCTACAACAGCATCAGCAACCCTTACCAGACGTTCCTAGGTCCTGTGGGTGTCTACACCTGGAATGGGCTCAGTGGTGAGTTTCCTAAGAAGACTCATGTGCACATGCATGCACACACATACACATGCATACGGGTGTACATATGCACACGTAAGTGTACACATATGCACATTGATACATGCTCATGAACACATATTGCTCTCCTTCTTGCCTTCACAAGGGGGAAGGGGCAACTTGAACTCCAGAGATGCCATACCTGGGAGGCTAAGTCACAGAGCAAGGGAGGATGCCATCCAGGGCCAACACTCTTCTTATGGGCTTGGATGCTGTGTGGTTGCTAGACGATTTTGTTATTTTGTGAGTGGGTACCTGGGTGGAGGATAGAGCCCAGATGGAAAGAGTGGATCCTGCCTGGGACTCAGTAAAAGACTCTCCATGAGTTTTGTCCATGCACTGCAGCCCTCACATCTGCCTAGTGAGACTGAGAACCAGAGGCTAAGGGACTTGGTTACAAATCCAGATAGAGGTCCCTAGCATCAAGGGCCTTCCATCAGCCACCAGACCTTACTCACTGCCAGGGTGAACAACAATTGTCTCTTGCTTTTTTCATGCAACTCAGAGACAACAGAAGCAGAGGCCTCAGACATGGTTAGATTTGGAGGTCATGTCCCATGAAGTCTGTTTCTCTTCATCACTGCATACATTGATTTGCCAGTGTGTTTTCTGTAGCTACACAGTTGACTCAACCCTCTTAAAGGTCAATTATCTGTACACATCCTAAAATCTGCCAGCAGCTGCTCTAGAGTCAGGAGAGCATCTTGGGCCCAGTTCTCATGGATTCACCCATTGGCAGGGCCTGGCCATCTCTAAAGTCAAGAAAGATAAACTGACCCATCAGGTTGGCTAAGAACAGGTGTTGAATCCAGGGTTATGGAATTGGATCCAGGATCAGAGGCACAAGAGGGGGGGAGGAGGGGTTCCCGGAAGAGAAGGGGAGATGACAGGAGGCTAGGCTGGGCCTGTAGTGCTCTGTCTGCAGCCCATGGGGCTTCCATCTGGCTCCTCGAGGCTGTAACCTCTTTTTTTTTTCCTCTGCAATGAAGGATAGGCTGACTACACATGTGTTAGAGGCCCCACACATGTCTGCAGAGGAAGACAGGAAACAGAGTCTGGGCAGCGTCCCCTCAGCCTGCCTCTGTCTAGCCACAAAGAGCTATGTGGTGGGGAGAGTCCCCCTCATAGTCCTTTTGCCTCAAAGGTATATTCTGACAAGGGGAAGAAGCTGTGAGGCCTGCAATAAAACCACCCATGAGGGGTGTGTAAGTGGCAGGCATGCATTCATACATGGGTCTGGAGGATGCAAGCATAGGAGCTGGGGGTAGCCCTTTGTGTCCCGATGCTCGGTAAGCCAGATTCTGTCCTCATATACCCCCAGAGAGCCTTTGATTTTCTTCCCCTATCTGGAGGGTTATAGAGTTTAGTGAAAACTGGTTTCCAAGAGGCTAATCCTGTGGAGAAGCATCTGTTTGTCCTTGACAGTGTAGCTTCCTGGCCCTTGGGACATCGTAAGGAAGGGCTGGTGTCAGACTGACTTCGAGGCCCTGGGGCCAATGAGAATCTGCAATCCCCTGTGGAGCTCCGCTTGCCCATGCTCTCGTGGGCTGCAGGTGGTGAGCAGACCCATGGGTAGAAGAGGAAGTGGATTACCTGGTTGGTTTCTGATGGAAAGAAACAGTAATAACACTGCCTGAGACTTGTGCCCCCCCCACCTCAACCCACACTGGACCCAGTGTGGCGGGGGTGGAGAGAAGGTTGGATCCGAGAGCCTGCCACAAGCTCTCTGCTCCAGACATCCTGCCCTTCACCTGGAGAACACAGAAAGCAATGAGTGGATGTCATAGCTCAATGGGGATAGGCCCTACCAGAAGCCTCATGTCCCCAAGCCTTTGAGAACAGCTCACTGCTGCCTGCCCCCAGCCTCCAGTAGCCCTTCAATATACAGCTATGAAGAAGCTGTGCAGCCAGCCAGGCCAAGATGCAGGCCTATACTTCCAGTTACTTAGGAGGCTGAGATGGGAAGACCCCCAAGTTCAAGACTTGCCTGGCTGTAAATAATGAAAAGAGGGCTGGGGTGTGGTTCAGTGGTAGAGCACTTGCTCACTACTTTCAAGGTTCTAGATCTAATCTCCAGTATTTCAGGAAGACAAGAAGGGAGGGAGAAACAAGAAAAGAGGGAGGCAGGAAGGGAGGGAGGGAAGCAGGGAGGGAAGGAGGGAGGAAGGAAGGAAGGAAGGGTAAGCAATTAACCAGAAGCAGTGTGGAGCCCATGGCTCCAGGCATCTGCCTCTAAGGGGCCCAGATAGGCAAGGTGTCTGCATGCTAGCTCTTCCCTGTGCAAATCAAAGCTCCAGACAATCCACTTTAGGGTAAAGGAATTAACCTTGTGTTCATTCCACCCCTTTATGATTAATTAAGCTTTTATTAGAAGCTTCACAAGAGGATAATGAAGGTGCAAGAGGCGCCCAGTGAGCATCAGAGGAGCAGGACTTTTGTTCATGCAAATAATTAAGAAATAAAGGCATTATTTTGTGGGTGAGGTGTGTCATCAAGGGCTGTTCAAACATTCTCCTCATGCAAACCCTCCTAATTAGCTTCCCTCAAGGAGCGTTTGGATTGGGACACAACGGATGTCTGAGACTTCACTGAGCTGCACACATTCTGTGTTGACCAGCAGATCAAGGATCCCAGAAAGACTTCATCCTGGGCATTCCCCTGATGTGTCAGACCCACCTGGGTGTGAGCATCCATCCTCACCCTCATCTTCCTCCCAGAGCTTTCTCATTCCAGAGTTCCCAGTATATGAATCACCTGCCACTTACATTACCCACCTAAAGCTCACTGTTCGCTGGGTTTGGGCATGTTCCTAGCCACTGCCGACACCACTATAATTGCTTCCCAAATATTTTCACCAGAGACCTCATGTCTCCTGGCTCTCACCCACCTAAGCAACTGTAAGTCTGCTTTGCTGAAGGTACTTCCTGGTTCAAGGCCACACTCGGCTGAGTCATGAGGAGTGGAATGTTTGGAGCAGCTGTCTAGCACTTGTAGCAGGTTCCAGCACTTGAGAGCCTCACTCCTCACAGTTGGGGGTGACCCTCTGCCCACCCTTGCTCTTGGGGAGGTGGCTTCTTCCACCTGCGATGCTGGTGTTTTTTCCAAGTCTTGTCGGTCCATTCACACCTCCTCATATCCACTCTCCATCCCCTGCCCACTCACTCACACCTGCTGCATGCGTGGACCTAAGGTGTGTGTAGGCCAGTCACCCAGCCACAGCTTCTGATGGGATCTGAGCCTGCAGGTTAGATACTGCCCTGAACGATGTGTAGAATTGCATGCCTGGAATCTAGTTTATTTCTTATATCTTATTTTTACATTCTCCTTCTTCCTGAAACACTATAGATAGCTAGTCAATAAATACCTATGGATTATGCATCCCATAAAGAAAATAAGTGATATTAAAATGCCAGGTGTGTGTGTGTGTATGTGTATGTGCATGTGCGCACGCGCGTGCAGCTAGAGAAATGACTGAGCAGTTAAGGGTGACTGCTGCCCAGTCCCTAATCATAAGGACCTGAGTTGGGATCTCCCACGGGTGATTCACAAACACCTCTAATACCTGCTCCAAGGGACCTGATGCCCTATTCTAATTCCTGTGGGTGGCTACCTCCATATATGTGTGCATGCATTCACACAGACACATGCTCATATACATATAAATAGTTAAAGTAACTTTAAAACATGCATCACAAGGACAAGTAGATGACTCAATGAATAAAGTAATTGCTTCTGAGACAGGGAGTTACAGGTTTTGTGAGACACCCTGCCCTCTCTGCAAAAATAAATAGATAAATAATATGGAGAGTGGTAGGAAAAAAAAACACCTGGTGGCTTTGGCCTACACATATGTACATATACATATATGCACATTTAGACACATACCACAGAAAGGCATATACGGGCATGCACACATGTACAGACAACAATAATGTTATGAATGCCTCTGTGTGTTGCTCATGAAACTGTCTTCTTTACAGCATCCTTTGTATTCCTGGCCATGGTACTGTTTGTGGGGAATGCGGAGTCCAACCATCTCTCAGAAGAGCTGTCCCAGAAGTTTTATCCAGAGATCACCAATGAGAGAACAACCCACACTTACGGATACTCATTTTGGCTCATTCTACTTGTCATCTTTCTGAATATTGTCACTGTGGTCATCATCATTTTCTATCAGAAGGCCCGATACCAGCAGAAGCAGGAGCAGAAGAAGCCGGTGGAATATGCTTCCAAGGATGGCATTTTATTCTGAGTTCTGTCTCACATCACATTTGCACTGTCTCTGCCAGCAGCAACTGGCTAGCTCCCTGGACAATCTGCATGGCAGAGTAACTGTCCAGTTTGATAGCTTCTGTAACCGTGACACAATGTCCTTCCTAGACAATGCTTGCACATTTCTCCATGGATATCCACCCCCAAAGAGTTTTCTCATGAGGGCTGGGAAATGAGTGGGGAAGTCTGTGGTCTTGAGTGCTCCAAGAGGGGGTGGTCAGGGGCCTGCAGGCCCTTCCCTCTTGACCTTGTTATCCACAGTAATAAAGGTCTGAGTTTTTGTCTTCTCATGGCCAGTTTAAAGGACTGTAGCCCCCATGATCTTGTCCTTAGGAAGGATCGGGTATTTCACTCCACTATAGGAATAAAGGCTTTTAGGCACCTAGGTATTCTGAACTTGTTTATTCAGAGTCAAGAGTTAGATACAAAAGGATAAAGGATGAAATGACCTTGTTCTATGGTTCCTCAGTGGCTGTCCTGGCTTGCAGGCTTAGTTCCTTTAATGAGGATTAGACATATCTAGAACTCAGGCCTTGGGAACCCCTGCATGAACAGGTTAGAGGTGAGATATAGTCATGGTGGTCAGTTTTTCCAGTAGATAGACAATCAATGAAAAGGGGAAGGCACCAAAATTTACTCTACATGATGTTCCAGGAAGACATTTCCTCTGAAAAGCTCATTGAGAACCCTTCAGCCTTGACTATTTTGCAAGTTGCCAGATAGAACTGTAAAGTGACAACTTCCATGTGTGATGGGGTCGTGAGGCAGCAGCTCTGTGACTAGGAGTGGATCTTATGAAGTCCTCAAGGATAAATGGCCTCCGACAACCAGATTTAGACAATGTGGGCTACAGCTCGCTGAGTCCTCACCCTCGTGGAGTTTACTGGTGTGCCGTCCAGTCAGACATCTAATGAGCACTTACTTGATTTCAATGAAAACAGTTGCTTAGGGTTGGGGGCCATCCCTCCATTGTAGAGTAAGTGCTCAACATGCTCAAGGCCCTGGGTTTCATCCCTAGCTCTGTGAAAGTGAAACAAACATGTAGTTACAAAATTGTGCTGTGTTTTGAAGGGACAGTCTGGATCACATTTGAAGACCTACTAACTTAAGATTACTCGTATCTATTAGACTATTAAAAGTTTACTATACTTCATTTCCTTCATGTGTGCACATGGGCAAAGGCCATGGTATGTGTGTCTGTATATCTCTTTGTGTGTGGAGATCAGATGGCAAGCTCCAGGGGTTGATTCTCTCCTTCTACCATGTGAGACCTGGGGATCAAACTCAGGTCATCAGGCTTGGTGGCAAGTACATTTACCTACTGAGCTATCTTGTGGACCTACTATTAAATTGTTACACATTTTTGATTTGGGCAAAAATGGCTTAGTGGGTAAAAGTGATTGCCACCAAGCCTAATAACCCTAGTCCATTCTAAATGACCCACATAGTGGAATTTGCAGGTTGTACTCTAACCTCCATTCATGAATTGTGGCGTGTGCATGTCCATGGCCCCAGCCATACTTCCCTAAATAATGCACAAAATAAATACATGAATATAAAACAAAATAAACTTAAAATGACTCATTATTGTTCATCATATGTATCTGTATCTATATATCTATATGTATATCTCTATATATCTGTATGATTTTTGAGACAGGGTTTCTCTTTGTAGCCTTGATTATTCTGGAACTTTCTCTGTAGACCAGGCTGGCCTCAAACTCACAGAGATCCACCTGCCTCTGCCTTCTGAGTACTGGCATTAAAGGCATGTGCCGTCACCACCCAGCTGGAAAATATTTTTAAAATATGATCATAAACATTAAAAATATTTTAAACTCTGAGTCTAAAAATACTTGTGTTCTTTGAAGGCCCAAGTTTTCTGCTGTATTTTTGATAATGTGGCCATGTAGTGAAGAGGAAACAGATGTGGGTAACAAGGCCTAGCAACAAATGGCCAAATAGGGCCTCCGTAACCCATCGCCGTGGGAGTACTGCAGCGTGGAAAGGTCAGGCTAAGCCCCTCAGAGCTGCTCTCCACACCTACCCAGTGCTCCTCAGCACCCTCTTTCTCTTAAATGGGAGCCCGCTCATGGATTTCTGTGTGGACTTGGAGTCAGTTCACCATTGCCTAATGTCATGTCTTCTACAATCCAGATAAGCAACTGACCCAGTGTGTAGAAAACAGTGCTGACATTCCAGCTCGGAGAGGAGTGGGTCTCCTTGGTCCCTTAGCAGCTCTGTCCTCTTCCAACCAGGCAACCCAGAACCCAGGAACTCAGGGTGTCACTGTTTGGAGAGACGGCCTCAGACAAGGCTCTGGAGCAAGGCACTGGAGAATGGCGCTGTAACCCAGGTGTCGACTCTCTCAGTACATGGATGTCTGGCTGGAGGAACATTATGGTGGCTTTGCTATCTCACTGCCAGCTGTGGGACGTGACAGAGTCAAAGTTATTGCCACCTCCCCCCTCCCCTTAGCTCCTCACTCAGTAGAACATGACTAAGTAACAGGAGGAACAACCAGGCACAACAAGCATTGAACAGGGAGGGAATCCTTGGTGCTGGGCTTCTGGAATCACCCAGGAGCTGGAGGACAGTGTCAGTGTAATACTTTAGCCTGGCGAGAAGGGCCTGAAAGCATAGGCCAAGGGCCATGCTCCATTCCCGGACCTGAAACTCCAAGTCTGTAGCTTGTGTGGAAGGAGACGAAGACACCAATACTGCCACACTTGGATTCTGCAGGCTACATAGGTCCCTCTGCTCTGTAGCTGAACAGGCAATACATAAACAAATAAACCTAACAGCAGAACAGCAAACAGCTCTCAGGCCCTTTCCACCCACCTGTGACCTAGTGCTGCGAACAGCCAGGGACACAATGGCCAAGCTTCTGGTCCCCAGTTTCTGTCCCAGAGGAAGTGTGGCATTCCTGATGGACCCTTTCACATAGGACAGGATGCCATGCCCCATCCTGTATGTGCCTCTCATTCATCCAGCTTCTTCAGGCCATCTGTTCCAAGTGAGCCTTCAGGTGGACTTGAATGCCAACCTGAACTAGAAAGGGGTCTCTCCCACAGAGCCCCACACACACCAGCAAAGGAGGGGGAGGTATCCATGGCAGGCTTCACAATGTGCACGGTTCACTTTCAGTGTCTAAATGTTTAGAAAAATGTGGGGAGACACACACTGTGTTTTCTAGTTAGCCATTTTAGCTGTTGCCTTTGAAGACGTCCTTTTGGTTTTTTATCCCTTTCTGCTAAGCGGAGCATAGATTCCTGGGTTGTGCCTTAGTCCCCAGTAGACTGGCCACAACTCTGGTTCTCTTGGGGCACAGCTGTTTCAATAAACGTGGGTCTCATGTAGATCAGTATGCTGTCCCAGGGGCTTTTCCTTTCGCAGTCAAAGCAGAGTGAAGCCTGAGTCTTCCCTGGTCCTGCCTTGAGGCTCAACTAGTAAAGTTCTCACTGTTTTCCAGATGCACACCTATGTTTCCAACTAAATGCTGCACACTCAAAATCTTATGGAGTTCAGGCAGCAAAGGCACACACTGTTTTATCATTAGCCCTGTTTATAGGAGGGCCACTGTGACTCAGGCTGGCTAACCTGGGTATGGTCATCCCACAGTGATGAAGAGGACAATTATTACCCATGCTCTCAGCAAGGCTGACAGTGGCCCTGTGTGTGTATATAGTGGCTGTAAAAGTCAGAACTCCATGTCAGGACTAGACTTTGAACTCCAGCAGCCACCCCAGGCATGTGTCATTTTAGTTACTGAATGTGCTAGATTCTTACAGTGCTGACATGGGTAGACATTCACCTTTTGATTAGAAATAAAACCAGTTTCATTGGAATGCAAACTGTGTGTTTTCTTCCCTGGCATCCTAAATAGGTCCTGGGTTGAAAATGTTTATTTTATTTTGGGGGGGGTGTTTCAAGACAGGGTTTCTCTGTTTTGTTTTGGAGGCTGTCCTGGAACTCTCTCTGTAGACCAGGTTGGTCTCGAACTCACAGAGATCTGCCTGCCTCTGCCTCCGGAGTGCTGGGATTAAAGGCGTGTACTACCAACGCCCGGCTGAAAATGTCTATTTTAAAAGCACCTCTTTTCATGATGCCATCACAGTAGTAACTAGGTATTATTCTTCTGGTGGCCATTGGTGCAGGGGAGAGTACACACTGTCAGAAACTCAGCTCCATTGGTTCCTCTGTCACTGAGAAGTCACAGTGTGTAGAATGCAGAGGCTGGAGCTGAGTGAGGAGGGTGTACAGTCAACACTGTTTTTACAGAGCAGCGGACAAGCCACGGGGAGTCCATATGACAGATGGCAGGTGGAATGGAGCTACTGGAGCTGTGGGGCTTCTCAAGGGCCTCCTAAACAGATGGGAACAATGGTCCAGAGACAGGGGTGGCCTTAATCCCACTGTCAGTGCTCTGACCTCAAACAAGGGCTGGCACCAGCCTGAGAAATGATGTGCTGCACACTGAGGGGCAGGGGGAACTGTGTTTGCTGGTATCTGCTTCCTCATTTGCAAAATAAAATGAGTTAAAGGGACAGAAAAGTTGGGATACTTACAAAGGTGTTTTTATTCTTTGTAACTTCATTGAGTTTATTTTTAATAAACATTCACATAAATATTGAATGTAATATGCTGAGTTTCCAAGTGTGCAGTTCATGAAGAACATTATAGAGAACATTCTGTAAGACTTCCATATTTGTGAATGCTGTTATTCTGCAAATTGCTATACCAGTTGTTATATGATGATCTTGCATTTCTGGACAGTACTGTGGAAATACTCTTCTTAGCATTCACCTAGCAAAATACATTGAATGGTGATGATGATGTCGATGATGGCAGTGGTGGTAATGATGGTGGTGATGATGGTTATTATGGAGGTGGTTATGATGGTGATGGTAGTGGTGGTGATGACGTAGAAAGGCAGCCTCTCTAGGGAAGTTTCATAGCTGTACTCCAACCAAGTCACCAGGCACATCACTACCACCTCCAATGTCACCAATGAAGAAGTGTTCTTATAGGTACAACTGTTTAGATTATGACCTCCATGAGATCCCGTGGTCATAGACATACTCAAACAAATAAAAACTTATAGAAAAAATTGATACAAAGTTGGAGGATGTGTTCTTTTTAAAACTAATTTTTGAGTTTTACATTCATAGTCAACCTCACAGGTACTCCCTGTCCCCACACACATGCTATCAATATCTGCCATCAAAGAGTGTCTCATTTGTAACACTTGATGAAATGTCATTGACCTATCATGTAACTGTCTTCAAGGACCACAGTTCACACTTGGAACGACACATCAACTTTTCAGAAAATGGTTGAGATTCTTTGTCGCAAGCCTTCTAGGACCTGTTGGCACTCTTTAAAATGACTAAAACCCCAAGGAACTTTTGTTTGCATAGGTGACATCTGTTGTTATTGATCACAGTAGAAGTACTGGCCATGGGGTTGAGAATACAGCTGGGTTGGTAAAGTGCTGATTGCTCCCCAGAACACACGTGAAAAACTAGGCATGCTGGTGTGGGCTTGTGATCCCAGGCAAAGACAACTGGATCCCTGTGGTTCATTGGACAGCCAGTATAGTCAATCTGGGAAACTCAAGTCCAGACAGGACACTTTCTCAAAAACCAAAATGGGCCAGGCATTCGTGGCACATGCCTTTAATCCCAGCACTCATGAGTCAGAAGCGGGCGGATCTCTGTGAGTTCAAAGTCAACCAGCCTGTTGGGTCCCAGCCCCAACAGGGTCTCTGTGAGTTGCTGGTCAGCGAACAAGTGCATCCTATTTTCCAGTCCACGTGCATCCTGGTTTTTTTTTGTTTGTTTGTTTTGTTTTGTTTTTCTGAGACAGGGTTTCTCTGTATTGTTTTGGAGGTTGTCCTGGAACTAGCTCTGTAGACCAGGTTGGTCTCCAACTCACAGAGATCCACCTGCCTCTGCCTCCCAAGTGCTGGGATTAAAGGCGTGTACCACCAATGCCTGGCACATCCTGTTTTCTAATCCTGGTTTACTGCCCTGGCCTTGCTCCACTGACATCAACTTCTAGCACGAGGAAAACATGATCGCTTCCACCTGGGGTTTTTCCACTGTGCTGTAAGCCTGTATATAAGACTGCTCCCCCTCTCTACAATAGAGACATCTTAGCACTTGCAATAAAGACACACACACAGGCATTCTCTTGCAATAAAGGTATGCACACACATTCTCTTAGCACAAACGGCTGTACGTCTTGTGTTTCATTTCCTGATATCTTAAACTTGCTTGTGGCATGGGAGCCACACCAGCCTGGTCTATAGAGCTAGTTCCAGGACAGGCTCCAAAGCAATACAGGGAAACCCTGTCTCGAAACACCTTCCCCCCCCAAAAAAAAAAGCAAAATGGAGTTAGTGAGATAGTGTAAAGGCACTTGCTGCAAAGTCTAAAGACCTGAGTTCACAGGCTGGAGAGATGGCTCAGAGGTTAAGAGCACTGACTACTCTTTCAGAGGACCTGAGTTCAATTCCCAGCAACCACATGGTGGCTCACAACCATCTGTAATGAGATCTGGTGCCCT